ATACCTGGTATCATCTCTCACTTTGGTCACATGGCCTGTCAGCCTGCCATATTATTAAGGCTTACTGGGGAGGGACGGTGCCTTTATTCATCTTCGAATCCCCAACCCAGGAGTGGCAGGCATGTTGAAAGCCATTTTTTTCCTTCAATATTCAACACATTCTGAGTACCTGCTCTGTGCCAGGGGCTCTTCTTGTCACTAAAGACACTGATGAACTCAGTGGACAGGGTTCTTAATCTTATGGCAGGCAAACATCACCTGACATTGGACTTGGGGGTTGGGGAGTGGGGCACAGAGGCGGCCCTGAAGGTCAGAAGGTGCACTGGAGCACCAGGCTGAGAGGTGAGCTGGCCTGTCCTCTGGGGTGCCATAGCCCACCCCTGCTTGGTGCAGGCCCAAGGACTGGGCAGCTCCTCAGGACTGCAGAGGGAGCAGATGTCCTGACACAGCTAGGCTTGTGTCCATGCTGTGCCGTTTGTTCTTGGCCTGGTTCCTTGCCATCCCCAGTACTTAGGGGTAGGTACAGTGTCATGAGGAAAGGCCAAAGGGTTGAACCCCTGTCCCGGAGGTTTAAAATAATTACTAGGAGACAGTTTCCTGAGATAGCGTCTCTTACCAGGGAAGGCTAGAGAGGTAGGGCCTGCTCACAGGTGGGCTGTATTCAGTGGAGGAGTTCCAGCCACTAACGAAGCAGAGTTTGGTAGTCTGTGTTTATTTTCTGAACGTCTATAGGTCATAGACATGCCAGAACACAACCCTGGGCAGATGGGAGGAACCATGAGGCTGGGCAAGAGGAGAACCCTGTTCCAGACCAAGGACTCAGTCATGAGTAAGAGCTGTCTTGTACTGGCCTGGCCTCTGGCTTGGCCTGTTCAGGATGTGTATCATAGGGGGGTGCTGGGGCTCTCAAGAGTCAGCCTGGCTTTTTTCTTTTTGTTCTTGCTTTTGAATTTTTTTCCCTCCTCTTACTCATCTTCTCCTAGGATGTACTATGGTAGGCAGGGCAGCAGTGTGGGTCTTAGATCACTGGCAATGTGGTCAGGACTCTGGGATGTGGACAGGGCAGTTAGGTCACATCCATTGCAGTCTGTTTCTTTCCTACACTGTTAAGTATGAAATTTGATGATTATTATCTCACAAAAATGACAATTTCATATGGGTCAACTCAAATAGATTTTACTCGAAGAAAGTATTAATATATGCTAGAGATGAAGGGAAATTGGGCAAGAAAAGTACTTAAGACATTTCTCTTAGTCCACCCCCTCCGCCTCTGTACCCCCAAACATTCTGCCTTTGATTCTGTGGCAGAGGTATTAACATATGCTAGAGATGAAGGGAAATTGGGCAAGAAAAGTACTTAAGACATTTCTCTTAGTCCACCCCCTCCGCCTCCGTACCCCCAAACATTCTGCCTTTGATTCTGTGGCAGAGGTGCTCTTGTGTTTCTTTTGGGGCTCTTTGGCAGCCTAATTTTGAGTTGCTTGAGTACTAGTCTTCCAATTCTAGTGTTCTGTGACTTGGGGTCTCACTGGAGTGGGTTAATTAAGCAGCCCATTTGCACACACACGGTGCCTCTTTGCCTACAGCCACCAGGTGCTGGCACCTTCAGACACTGATTTGAACTCTTGTCCCCAGAGTTTATCTGCGAAGCTCTAAACTGTCTCTCTTCCCACACTGTCCTCAGGGCTCAGGGTGCTTGGGTCCTGGTCTGTCTGCTAGATAGCGTCTAGCAGCGGGGCACTCTGTCTTTAGCTTGATGGAGGTGGTGAGCCTGGTTCCATTGTGGTTCTTAGTGTGTCAGAAGGAGCCAGAAGCCAAAAATTAGTCTAAATTGTGCTAAGAGCAGGAAGCATGGTCCAGAATTCCAGCAGCCTGTATATGTGGACGATAACAGTCCACTGTGAAGTAGGATGTGTGAAACAGGGTATTTGGCAAGTCAAAAGTCATAAATCCAGCCTTTTTTTTTCCCCAGGAAAACTCTATGGAGACCCAGACTACCTGGAAGAGCGGCACCGCCATCGATTTGAGGTGAGAATTCCAATTTGTGTTTGCTCTTTTCTGTTACTTGGGAGACACAGTAACAGAGATCAGCACAGTTATTTTTCATGGATCAACAGGTGAATCCAGTCTTGAAAAAGTGCTTGGAAGAGCAGGGCTTGAAGTTTGTTGGCCAAGATGTTGAAGGGAAGCGGATGGAGATTGTGGAGTTGGAAGGTAATTGCTGAGACAGTTGAATTTAATGAAAAATGAAGTCAGATTTCTTGGCACATGGGAAAGTGTAAAGCCATGTGTCGTTGCTCTGGACAAATCAGAATTAGCATTGTCTTGTGAGGGGAAAGGTCTTGGTGACAAAGAGGCCGGAGCTCCAGGAAGTTTATCCTTGTGTGTGGCCTTCCGCAGGCAGCCAGGTAACCTTAGGCCTCCGTTCTTCTTCCTCTAGAAAGGGGGTGGACTTGATACTTGGCCTCTTTCAGTTCTCATATGATCTGCGTGGCTCAACCTGTGGAAGTCACAGTAGCCAGGGGACCCAGGGAGGGTCTATGGAGAGGAGCCCCCTTAGCTGGGAGGGGACAACAGTGCTGGGAGAAGGGGATTAGGTCACTCAGGCTTTGGGGTTGTCTCTACCTATATTCAAATGGTAACCTTACTTTGAAATAATTTAGGGTTTTTTCCTGGGGGATTGAGCCCAGAGCCTTGCACACATTTGGAAGTTACTCTACCACCAGGCCCCAGACTGTTGGCGTCGATTTAATAAGACTTTTTTCTCATCTTTCACATTTTCTGCCCAAATACCTAATGGATCATTTGGATTTCTATTTCAGATCATCCTTTCTTTGTTGGAGTTCAGTACCACCCAGAGTTCCTGTCCAGGCCTATCAAGCCCTCCCCGCCATACTTTGGCCTCCTCCTGGCCTCTGTGGGGCGGCTCCCACATTACCTCCAGAAAGGCTGCAGGCTCTCGCCCAGGTGGGGACACTGCTTCAGCAATCAGCTCCTTGTCTTCACCAGTCCTTTGGGGTCACTGGCTCTCACAGTGAGGTGTCACACAATCAGTCCCAAGAAAAAGCCATAGGTGTCATGGCTGGGTCCTTGGATGAGACACCATGTGTTCCTCACGTTTCCACAGAGGTTCCTGCTCTGTCCTGGAGTTTCCTCAGGCTGCTTCCTTTAGTGTATTGATCAGGCCCTGCTCTCTCTAGCATCTGGTTCTGGTGATACTGCTGAGGAGCATGTTTGGCAGAGGTCTGTCTCCTTCATGTTAAGGAGACAGGGTTTTTCCGCAGGGAGTATGCCACACCCCAGGGGGATTTGTACCCTACTGCCACCCTTATCTGAGGCTGGTTACTCTAATGCGTGGTTATCATTAACTGAATGGTAAGAGGAATGAAATCCCTCAACAGCCTCAGGCTGAGTGTACTGTGTAGTGAAGTCTGATTTGTGCTGTGTGGACACATGTCCCTGCAGTAACAGTGGCTACAGAAACAAAAGTATCGTGAGGGTTTTGGCAGGAGAAGAGGAATAAACTTTCTGTATTCTACAGGGACACCTACAGTGACAGAAGTGGGAGCAGCTCCCCTGACTCTGAAATAACTGAACTGAAATTTCCATCAATAAACCATGACTGATCTGGCAATGTAAGTGATATTTTTAATGTTAAGTTGGTCTTTTTGTTTTGTTTTAGTGTGTTATCAAAACAGTGATAACACACTAGGATTGTAAGAATATCATGAAAGTTTGGTGCTAAGAACTTTTATTGGCTAGAGAATGGAAGTGGTAAGGTCAGTGTGACTATCAGTGAGTGGGCCACCCTCTTCCAAGTTACCTGCCCTGCTCTGGGGGCTGCTGGGGTGACACCAGTCACTGGGCAGGTGTCACATGGTTGATTGCTTCACAGAGGTGCCAGTCTGACCAACTAAGGGACTGGGTTCTTAGGCCTTGTTTCACGAAGTTGTATAAACTCAGAGATGGTGAAGGAGGTGACAGGCATGACAGCATGGCCTGTCATTTTGCAGCTCCTCAAGCTCTCACCAAGACGTGTTTCAGAACTGATACTGCTTGCAGATAGTTTGGTTTGATTGCTGCTTATTCCGGAAATTCTTCAAAATTCAAACAGCAAGGAGGCTTTGAATGTCTGTTTAGTGACAGGGTTTGTAAGTTTATAAAGAACAATTATGGACATTGCCATGAATTTTAAAAGTCCTTTAAGATTACAGAGTAAACTATTTGTCAGAAATAGATTCTGCTGGTGAGGGTATCAGAAAGGGGATAGGGTGGGGGTCTGGAAGGGGGAGAGTATGGTCCACTTTGTTGGTGGTCCCACTGCAGGTAAGAGAGTTCCTGCCCTGAGGCAGGGCAGGTGGCCCTCCTGGATCCTGTGTGCCTGTACTCATGCCCCTGGGGCCTCTGCTGGCCTAGTGCTGGACTGATTCAGTGACCTCCATTGATTCCCCTTCTGCCTTACTGATTGGCCACCTAACCTATGGGCATAGACAGATGGGCGTGCATGAGAAGTCAGTCAGCATCAGGACGGCCTGGGTTGCTTAATCTGTGCCAGGTGAGCATGTAACAGAGGCACCCCCTAATCCCTGACCCCTGACCAGGAAGACAACAAGGGCCAGGGGCAGGGGAAGGCAGGTGGGCATTTGGTCAGCCACATGGAGTTTCTGTGGAGACGTGCCTGTCAGCAGACCAGTAAGAGGAGGACACTGTGGACAAAGAGTGCTTGTGTCAGGGCCAAGGCAGAGGTCTTAAAAATGTGTGATTCTGTAGGAATTATAAATTTAGCTTCTGATTATTCATATTAAGTTCTTACTGCTATTCTACCATGAAAAACAGGCATTGTTCCCCATGGCAGCTGACTGTACATTCTTAAGTTTTCTACTTGGCCATCATATAATTGCTAACATTTTTTTTTTTTTTAAAACAGGGATGATTCTTCAAGAGAACCTTTGACTTTGACAAGAGTTTACAGCTATGATTTTACACTCGGCTTTTGACACTTCCTTTAAATTATGTTTTTATTAAGATTATTTTATTACGGGGAGAAAGGTATTTGGAAAACTGTCATTGGCATGTCGCATCATGTACACTGTTTCCGGGCCCGCCTGCTGCTTGGCCTTTCCCGTGTAGGTCAGGAGGTTGTGAGATGAGAAGCCCACATTGAGATGGGTGCTGACAGCAGGGGCTGATGGAGGCCTGTCCACCACCTTGTTTCTCCAACTACCTCGTGTCATTGTGGATTCGAGCGTCTTGCCTGTTGCTTCCTTTGGGTGCCCAGGCCGTTGCTCAGTGCAGGTGGCTGGACCAGACATGGGAGGATCACTGTAGGGAGGATCACTGAAGCCGGTGCTTCCCCTGTGGGGTGCTGGTGACCTCCTGCACCGCCTGTCACCAAAAGCAGTGAAGCCAGAGCTGAGGCCTCAGTGTTGCTTTGAGTTGTGGAAGCTCTTGGTGCCAACTGTGGCTGGTCCTTGTCCTCCAAAGGGACAGTCAGTTTGGTGTCACATGATGCAGCAAGAAGTTGGTGTCTCTGAAGTATGATTTTAAAATTGCACCTCTGGCTGCATCTCCTGGTCCTGGGGTTGGGAAACACTCCTTGCATCAAGGGGTCACTTAAAAAAAAATAATAAAAAGAATCTTTGTGGGGAAACTGCCTCTAAAACCCTCTCATATATAGACAGCTTTGACCTGAGGGTACTTTCTTCTTCCAGAATGGTGTTAACTGCAGTTAAAATGCAATATGAAAACTATTTTCTTAATGTGATGGAATAGGCATAGCCACTGCCTACTGTATTCTGGCTGGACTCCATGTATACTCTAACTTAAGAAATAAAAAATGCAGAACAAGAGATGCCTTTTCTTTCTCTTTATGTCTGTTACTGGCCAGGTGGGGAAAGCTGCAGTGTGTGGCTGGGGTGCCGCTGGTGCCTGCTGCTCCTCTGGCCTGCAGCCTCAGTGAGCAATCCCAGTGTTGTAAGCTAGAGGCGAGCCTTTCTTGTGAATAGGAACCTGAGTTTTCAAACAGGGCTTCACATCCTGGTTCTCACATGTCAGGAGAGATTGAAAGTGACATGAGTGCCAAGTGTACAGCTTGTCAGGGACAAGGGGGAGGGAAGAAGTGCAGGCCCCTGCACAGGGGGCCTTTTTGCTAGTTGCAAACTGGGCCCCTCCCCAGAGATGAGAATGGCCGACCAAGGACCTTCTGAACCAGCTGGACTGCTTTCTCCCCGCTCTGCTTCCACCCTCAGCCTCTGGAATACAGGTCCAGCTCATGGTCACTGTCCTGGGTGAGGGGTTGGTGACAGGCACCCACTCACCCTCTGGCTGCTGAGCACACCTCTTAGAGACGAGCTGTCTTCTCTGCTGAGGCAGGTACTCAGGCCTCAGGCCACCTGTTCACCAGTCTACCTAACAGCCTTCACTTGCTGAAATTTGAGATACTGGGTTTGGGGAGGGAAATGTGTTTCTCACAAGTGAGTTGGCCCAGCTTCTACTTCAGAGAGACTCAAGAGAAGTAGACTCTTGTCCTTCCATTCGTGGTCCAAGGGGGAGCCTGCCTTCCTGCTCTCTGACCAAGAACAAGTCACCTTTGTCTGCCTTCCTTGCTCACAGACTGACCTAAAACACTCACTTCCACAGAGCTCTTCATACTTGTCTAGAGCTTTTATTATGGCTGGTTGAGCGGAATTCTGACCTTATGCCACATAGCAGCCTGTCACTCCCCACACTGAGGGAGTGGCAGGTCCCTTGGGGTCACCAGTGTCCTGAGACAGTGAGGACTTGGGTGGGTATAGGGAGGTTTGGAAGAGCTCCCTGTAGTCATGTTCCTGCCCCTGGTGAAGATTCCCTTAAGGTGACCAGTTGCCTAGGGCTGGCCACCTGCAGAACCTTTCTGAGAAAAGGAACTCCACATAGCTCTCCAGGGACTGCAGAGCTCAGCCAGATGGTGTCGCCCTGCCATGCCAGTGTCGATTGACCAGGGCCCAGAGGCTTCTCTAAGGTTGGAAGAGACTTGGTAGCATCTCTCCTGGGTTCTGGGCAGTCTGAAGCAGCTGACTGAGATCACCTTGCCTTTGTAGAAACTGGCTACTTCCCACTAAGGGCATTTCTGAGGATTGCGGTGCCTGGCTCATAGAAGTTGGCCAGAAACTCTGCTGTGGCTTCTTGAGTAAGGTTCCCACCCTCATGCCTGGTGCTGGGGATAGAACCCAGGGCTTTGTGAATGCTGGACAAGCACGCCACCACTGAGGGACACCCCAGCTCAAGTAATCCATTCTTTGTGTAGCTCTTGAGCAGCTTCAGCCACCCTGGGACAGCCCACTGGGTGAGTTACAGACAGGGACCACCATGGTAGGTCACGTTGCCTCTCTGCCCTTGTGCTCTTTCCAACAGCCTCAGACCTGATAAACCACAGAAACAATGTTTACACAAGAGGAAGTTGTTACCACTAAACTCTGGCTTCACCTATTCTAAGTCAACTTAAAAATCACTGATTTTGGAGGTCACAAAGTCTAGCTTTGCTGTAGATAACACCTCTGATGTGTGGGTTATGACGATAATGCTTGCCTAGGCTACCTTTCAGGAACTTGAAAAACACTTGACTATTTGGGCTGCAGATGTCCGGTGGGTGGCTGGGATGAGTGTCTCATATGCTTGTCTCCTTTGTTTCCTTAACTTTTGGATAGACTCTACTCGGCTCTGCCTGTAGATGTGTCAGTTGCCTTTGGAGCGGGCATATTTTCTTCTTCCTGCCCTGGTGCTTTTTCTGCAGCTAGAGCAGCCCCCAAACCCATAGTCCTTTAGCCCTGTCATAGGCCCAGATGGAGCCCCAAGGCCAGGGTGTTTGCACAGGGGGATGGGCACCAGCTACAAGAGTGGTTCCCAGGCAAGTTGAATGTGACTGGTGGTATCCTCAACATCTTTTGGAACCATGCTCCTGGTCAATGGAAAATTATCAGACTAGCCCATCCCAGCAAACCAATAAAAGCTTGCATTTCCCTTTATTTAGGGAGCAATCTGGGCCATTGATGAGTGCTGTTTCCCTTTAGCTGAAACCCCAGTTAAAGATTTGCCTATACATTTGGGCTCATTTCACTTGATTTGCTTCTGTCATCACTGAGTCAAAAGTTCTCATCTCTGGTATTAGGAGTTTGGTGACCTGTCATGATACATACATCCATGATACACTTGGTCTCTAACCAGTGTGAGTGGTGGCCAAGGCCAGGCTTGTATCCTGTCTGATAAGTGGGAAACCAAGTCTCAGAGCAGTTGTGAGTGGTCCAGGCTGTGAGTGGCTGGCGAGTGGGGGTGGGGCTGGGGGAGTGCAGGTGGAAGGAGTTGGTGGGCATAGCTGGCATGGCTGGTTCAGGGGGCAGGAGGAACATGGAGGGCTGAGTATAGGTGCTGCTCTGGCCTTAGTCTTGGCTTGGCAGTGGGAACAGTAGAGGAACAACAAGAGCAGGAACCCTCTCCAGAGCCAGGGTTGGGGGTGCTTAGAATGGGAGTAGGCTTTTCCTGTGCAGGTGCTGCTCTGGGCTAGGGCCAGCACCCTGGGGACTTCCTGATGATGACAACGCCTGCCCTGCCCACTGCTACTCTTACAGGCAAAGAAACTGAAGCAAAGAGGTGAGTGCTTTGCCCCAAGGCACCTGGCCTTTAACATGGAGCTGAGCTTGAGGCTAACTGGGCTCCTGTCACCACCCACAGCCCTGTGTGGTAGGAGCCCAGGGTGGGCTGTGTCTCCTGGACAGAGGTGGATAGAGCAGGGAACACATGACCCAGCAGTGTCTGGCTGGCTGACAAAATGTGCTAGAAATAACCATTTGCACCCCAGGGTTATATGACTTATTAAGGATCTTTAACAATCTCAAGTTCCAGCAAGTTAGGGGAGAGGGCTGCAGGATGGCCTGTTTGCCTTGTAAATGTTTCCAAACATGCCTTACTGGCTATGAGGGACCTTCCTAAGATGACAAGTTCCTTTCTGGCACTGTCTAGCTGACTGGGGTCATAGACCTCAGCTTGGGCTAAAAGAGCATTGAGGGAGAGGGACATTTCCTTACAGCTCAGCCATAGGATGAGTCTGGCCAAGTTCTTTCTGAAAGTCCATGCTTGGGGATGTGCTGCCAAGAACATTCTTGGCTACACACAGAGGCTGCTCTGGTGAAGCCACGTGGGTCTGTGCTGAAGGAGCAGGAAGCCAGAGCTCCCTCCTACCTGCCTGGCCCAGGTGCGTTTTGTTGCTAGGACTTAGCCCAGATCAGAAGTCTCTGCCTCACCCTGTGCAGCTTGGCACTGTGCAGCGGCCCGTGGGGCCCTTACAGGACACAGCAGGTGCAGGACACAGGCCGCTGTTGCCTCAGCTGCTGCTGGAGCTGCTCCTTTTCCACCGTCAGCACCTTCACCTTCTCCTCCAGCTTGCTCAGCTCTGTTGTCCACTTCTGAGGGGCAGCATAGCACAAATGGCCAAGCTGATGTCAGCCCCAGCTGTCCACCCTCACCCTGGAGCGAACTGTAGCCTGAGGGGAGGGGGAGCCATGACCCAGGCAGCCCTGGGTTCTTGACAGGCTACAGAGCACGGATGTGGGGAGGGAGTGTTCCTCTGCAGCCTCCCAGATGCTAGGATAGGCACAGCTGCCCCTTAGCCACATCCTTCCCTCAAACTGACTGCCTCCTTTGCCCTCTGCCTTTCCACCACCTGGCAGTTCCCTCTTGCAAAAAGACCTCCCCTTGGGACTATGTTCAGCACACCCCTCCCCGCCTCTGGAGCTCCCCCGAATGTATTACACAGTCCTTGGGGTTTTCTTGTAACTCTCCAATATTCTCATTTCTCCGTTCTCCTGTTGTTCTCAACAACAGAATACCTCAACCACTCAAGTTGGGTGGGTGAGGGTGTCAGGCACCATGGAAAGAGGGACATAGATTTTGAGGAGACTGCTTGGGCCTCTCCCCTAGCCACTGGACAGTGTACTATAGGGGATGGCCCTCCTTTGTGCTCATGGGTTGACACAGGACACAAGGACCCGAGGACACAAGATGTTCTGCACAGGACTGCTCAGAGAGGCTGGAGGAGCTGGGTTAGCGGGGCCCTGCCCACTGCAGCCTGGGCCTCCTCACCTGCCTGTACCACTCCTGGATGGCGCTGACGGACAGTGGCCCCTGGATGCTCCCGTCCCGCCGCAGGAACACCTCCCCCTGGTCTGTCTCGTACAGCTGGGGCTCCCCTTGGGTCTTGGGGTTGTGCACAGTCAGACGGAGCACCTTGGTGGGGGAATGGCAGCTTGGGTGGAGGCCACAGCTGACGCTGGCAGCCCCAGTCCTGCCCAGGACTCCACCCTGGCCCTGGCTCCTTAAGGGAGCAGTGGCTCCTAGAGGGATTCCTTTCCCCACCCCCCTGCTCCACTCCCCACCCCCCGCAAGTAGCACAGGCCATTGTCCTGCTGGGCCATGACAGATGACAAGCCTGTTTGTCCCACAGGCTTACCTTGAGAGGCACATTGGTGGTGGAGGCACTGATGACAGGGATGAAGGTGAGGGTGTAGGCGCTGGGAAAGACCTGGGGCTTGAAGCTCTGCAGGATGGAGTCCACCAGCAGGCGCGCTCTGTCCTCATCGCGGTGGGTGCAGCGGATGCCCTGCACCAGGCCGCTGTCCTCCACGCCCACTAGCAGGCTGCCTCCTTCACTGTTGAGGAAGGCGCATACATAGCGCCGCACGTGGTGCTTGAAGGCGAGGCTCAAGTACTCGCCACCGCCCCGCTTGAACTCCATGTTTCGTGTCTCGTTGCCCAGGAAAGTGCCCTGGAAGAGGTGCTCCTGGCCCAGGATCTCCTGGTGCACAATGGCGCTGTCAGAGCGCACGCCGCTGGGCCGGTTCTGGGAAATCTGCCACTGATGGGTGCAGTGCCACCTAGATGAGGAGTCTGCAGGTCCTGTTGGCATGGGGAGACTGGAGCCATGGCTGAGACCCGGGCTGGGACCAGGGCTGGGGCCAGGGCTGGGGCCTCGGCTTGGGCCACTGTCCTCCTCCTGCTGGGGTAGGGGTCGAGAGTGGGGCATATGGATCCTTGGGAAGTCAGGAGCCCCTGCCTTGAGACAACTGCCAGACTTCCAACAGCGCCCCTGCCTGAGGTCCAGCCCCCGTGGACATCCTGATGCCTCCTTTAGTCTGATGGCCTAATTCGCTCACCCTCCTGCCATCAATGTGGGACCACCCTCCTGGTTCAAGGGTCTAAACTAGCCATTGTCCCTTCCCCTCCTGGCCTCTTTCTAAGTCTAGGTGTCTGGCTTGTGGTATGCCTGGGTGGGTAAGAAGGGAATTTTCTTCCTAGGACTGGGAGCCGGCACATCTGTGTGCCAGTCTTTTCCCACTTGGGTTGCAGATAGTTTTGTGAGGCCCAGGGCCTGATGATTGAGTTCCTAAGTACCCTGAGGTCCCCATCCACGTCAAGTTGCACGTTTCTGAACTGAGAGACTGCACTGGCTTCATGATCTCCCTGAAACCTGACTGCTACTTCCTGGACCTCTGGCAAGTCCTCCTGAATCCCAGCTCTCCTCTGCCCTTCCTAAGCCCACTTCCATGGCTACTGATCTGTTGAGAGAGTGGTCACGTCCTTGTGGCTCTTTCCCTAGTCTGGGCCTCATCAGGAAGCCCCTCACTGACTCTCCTTTTCCCAGGCATCCTCCTCTAGCCCTAGGGCAAGTCAGGTGGTCACACCCCCTTGGAAACCTGTTCCTGGCTCCTGCTGCTTTCGCCTCTCCAGGGCTGGAGGCTAAGCGTGGGCTGGCACCTGCGATGAAAGGCACTGCCCTACTAGCCTTGTGGCTCCCCAGAGAAGACTCACTTATCAGTCCAGGGACACCAAGCAGCTTTCCCTACAAACTCAAACCCTTGCCCCGTCCCTTTGCAAGTGCTGGTCCTTCTGCCTGGAATGTCCTGAGTGCCTCTCCAGTTCTCCAGGTCCCAGCTTGTTCCCTGAGAATTTGTCCTAGAGAGCAGTGAGGACTGCCCCATGTCTTCAGACAGCCACCTCAGATTTGTGATTGGTGGAATCTGGCGCTGCTCATGAGTGGGGGCTCCTTGAGGGCAGGGCCAGGACAGAGTGGTGTTGGTGTTTGTCTACTGGGCAGGTGAGGTAGGCCAAGGAGAAAAATCAGGACCTGTGTATCTGAGGCCCTCTCAGGCTGAGGCTGGAATGCAAAAGGGCCCAAGAAAAAGCCCCACACTTTGGCTTTTCTTCAGACAAGCTCAGGCTGGCCATCTGTTCTAAGGGATAGTGGCCCTCTGGGTGAAAGTGGGCCATATGAGCTTCAGGCTTTAGGCCAGTATCACTTGAGCAGCCGCAAGTCTGCAGATCTGTCCTCATTTTTTCAAAGACATCCCCCAACCCTACAGGCCATTCTCACCCAGGCCTCCCTTCTGGGTGTCTTTGGGACTGGCTTGGGGAGGTCCCACTTACCTCTCTATAGATTAGTGGCTCCCGGGCCTCACTCAATACCAGCTCCTTCCCCCGGGCTGTCAGCTCTTTGAGGATCAGCTTCTCCTCCATGGCCATCTGCAGGCGCCAGGGTAGGGAGGCCAGGACATCCTTGTTGGTGGCCACCCGCACGAACGCATAGGCATTCCGTGGCCGCCTCACCACCTCGATGTGCTCCCGTGGGATCCGCAACTCAAGTCGCTCCAGGGTATCCCGCAGCAGGCAGGCGAGCACGGGCACTGAGAACTGGGGATTCAGGTGGCCCACATAGAGTGTGTACATGTGGGGAACTGCCCTAGGGCTCGTGTCTTCGGGCAGGGACTCTTCTTGGGGGAGCTTTGGCAGGGGCTGTTTGCTCTGGGACTCCATGAAGGTCTCCCACATCTGTGTTTGTGCTGATCTCTTACTTGGGGTCATGGGGTGTCTTCCTTGGAAGGGATTCAGGGTTCCTCCCTGTCGACTGCTCCTCCAAGGGCCCTGGGCTCTCAGATGGCCCAGGACCTCACAGGGGACTCAGGTGTGCCAAGGCTCCTAGGGGCCTCTCAGACTGGCAGGGCCACAGAGACAGAGAAGGAGGGCAGAGGGCCACCAAGAAGTGGTCTGCCACACACCTGGGCAAGAGAGAGTGGGAAAGGACTGAGCCAGACCTCAGAGCCTGCAGGTTGACTGAGGGTATTTGCCCAAGGAAGAGCAGGAAGGCCCACAATTCAGGTCCCTAAAAGCCTCACCACATCCTCTTGATGACCCCAGGGGTCCTGTCTTCCATCCCAAGGCCACAGGCTAGGGGCCTCGTAAGTACCCTTGGGGTTTTCTGCCAACTAGAAGATTTTTACGGCCTCCAGATTCCAAAGAAACCTTTTAAAGAGGGTGTTTTGGAGAGGACTTAGCCCAGGACTCAGGGCTGGCCAGCAGCCCCATGGCTGCTTTTGCCTGCCTGGTCCAAACCCAGTAGGGACTCTGAAATTAGTTAAGTATGAGGTCAGAGGGTTCTTATGCTTTTTGGCACACTTACAAAATCTATGTTCCCTCCCCAGAAAAATGGCCTTTGCATATATATATATATATATATATATATATATATATATATATATATATAATTTGAGGAGGCTGAGAATGGGGTTTAGAGCTGGGCTCCTGTGCCTTGCCCCCAGGCCCAGGAGCTGTGCCTGTGCACATACCAGTCCCTCCACTCACCCCCACACAGCCAGCCTCTGGCTGGTGTGGTAGGTGCCACCAGCCTGCATCTTTTCAGGTTGGATCCTGGAGGCAGGTGGGGTCTGGGAGCCACCGCGGCTGGGGCAGGGGCATTCAAGGCAAACAGGAATAGGAGGAAAGAGGCCTAAGTCCTTCATATCCTTCTGGCTCCTGGAGGAACATGAGAGGTGCCAGTTCTGAGCTCCCACAACCCCGACCCCTACTAGCACCTCCCAGGGCACTTAGAGCTTAGCATGGAGGCAGGGAGAACCAGGGTCCTGGGAAATGGGCGGGGCCTGCACAACTGCCTCTGTGATCTCATGAGGGTCAACAATGCCTTCTTGGTCAGCTGTGGACAAGGCCTCTCCCACACCTGCAGACATGGCTGCCCACCAACCACATAAGCTTGATCATGGGGCTCCTTCTGGGCAGCTTTCAGAAAGTAGGGGCTGAAGACATAATTCCTCCCTTTGCAGTGCCTTTCTAGGCCCCAATGCCCACGCAGGCCACCCAGTTGCCACCACTTTCGGTCCTGGTGCTTAAAACCTATACTTCCTTTTTTGTTCTCAGGATTCCCTCCTGTGGACTGTTCCTCCCAGGGCCCTGGGCTTTCAGATGGCCCAGGACCTCACAGGAGACTCAGGTGTGCCAAGCCTCCTGGGGGCCTCACAGATGGGCAGAAACTAACTGGTCAGGACCACAGAGACAGAGAAGGAAGGCAGAGAGTCCCAGCTGCTCCCAGGATGGACCAAAATACACAGGGTAGCTTCCAGAACCACCCCTGACAACAGGCCCTTCTCTATGCCAGGGACAAAAGTTGCTATCTAGAAGAGTCCTGAAAAATAGATCAAGTGTTGTTGTCTCTTTTGAAGTACAGGGTTGTTACCTGTTGTTTGACTGGGACGAAGACATGGGTCATGCACAGCCTCTCCAAATGCAGGGACCTGCTCCTGGCAAGTGGGGACTTTGGTAAGTGTATTTCAACATATTCTCTCTCATGCTGCTTCTGGAAGCTTCTGGTTATGGGGAGTGAGCGTGGAGGACAGAGGTGATGCTTCGACTGACTGAAGGACTGCTTGACAGCAGGCAGCCATTCTGAAGATGTTAAGTTTTGTTTCCCTTAGGGATGGGGGCAGAAGCTCAAGTGGGGAACTGGAGGAGAGATGATGGTGTCGGGGAAGGGAAGAAGCCCCAGCCCTTCATGGTGGCAGTGTGGGGCTCTGAGAAGACTGGGCAGCTGCACTGTCCTTGCCCAGGCCTGGAGCCAGGTCTGCCTCAGCTGTCTCCATAGCCCTGAGAGTAATGAAGGGACAGCCTGAGATGTCCTGGGATCCCTGAGCCCTTCTTCCAGCCTTTCTCAACTGTGTCATCCATGAGGTGTTCTCACAGCACTGGACAGCTCGGCTGCAGCTGTTTCAGGATGGTTAACGCCAGTTGTGTTGGGTTGTGTGAAAAGAGACAGCTGGCCACAGAAGAGTCCTGGGGTGAAACACATGAACCAACGAGGAGTGTTCTCCTTCCTTATCTCACTGCCTTGCCACAGGCAGCTGTTTGGCATGAGATTTCCCATGCCAAGTTGCATGTCAAAGCTTTCCCGCCCTCACTGGCAATCTCTCTAAGTCACGTTGTCACCCATTTTTCCATAGCCTTTAACAGACGTATATGAGCTGAACATTCATTTCACTTCCTTTGGGGGTAGGGGTAAAAACTGCCTTTTATTATAATCACTAAATACAATTTTAAAAATAGTCTTTTAAATACAGAAATGCATTGTAATTGAACAGGGCTCTTTACCTCATCCCAGGCTCATTGCTATGGTTTAGAAGTCGAGGTGCTTGGCAGGCCACTCATGCGGTGATGGAATTGGGAAAGCAGTATCTTTTAATCCTTTTGCTGGATGTCTGTGATCTTATTGGCAAGCCTCATTTGGCACTGAAGGAAAAAAGCTCTGGAATTTAAGACTCTTGGAATGAGAGCTGGGGACCCAAGATGGAGCACAGAGATGCAGTGGAATTCCCCTTTCACCTTCTCTGGAGTGCCCATGTGACGGTCTACACAGCCATGATCACTGAACCTGAATTGGGGATGGACATCTGCCTTCTTTCTTCCTCTCAACTCCCAAATTTAGTTTTTGCTAATTGCCCAGGGGGGCTAATCAAGGAGAAGGGGGACAGGGAATCTCAGATACCTGTGGGAGAGACAGTAATGTTAAAAAAGCAAATTCTGGTAGGAATACTGTGGACATGGCCTTTGAGCTCTTGGGACCCATGATGCTCCAGCTTTGGCCCTTAGTCCTGTCTAGCAAACCACCAACTGCATATAGATTCCTGCCTCACCTTTTATGGGTCCAGGCCCAGTCACCTGTAGGGTTTCTCTGAGACTCAAGGAGCTCTGCCCCAGGGTCCATCCTGCTGTTGGCTGCTAGCCTCTGAGAGCACCTGCAGTGGCTTTGGTATTATAGGCTAAGCACCCAGTTCTGATGCCTGGCTGTCATTGTTCCTGGACTAGGGGTTTGAAGCCTAATGGAATGTGGGAGCAAAACCAGATGCAATGATTTGGGGTGAGTTAGGGTAAAGAGACTTGTTGAGAGCCACAGCCCAGTCAGAATGATGCCTGGCATTTGCCAGAGGGAATGGTTGAAAGGTGACGCCAGCAAACCATTGAGATGATGATTTGAGTTAAGCTATATATAATTGCTGTGATGCTGGATTGATTGTATTGTATATTTGACCTTTACTGGCGGGCAATAAGGCGGCTCCTGCTGCCTCCGGCGCCTGCTACCTTGAAGTTCCCGTGAGTTCTCACAGGGGTTCAGAGAGATTGGACGGAGCCCAGGTGAGGGAGTGTGTTCCCGTGTGGTGTGTGCAGTGCCGGTGAGAGTTGGGGAATAAAGAGCTGCTGTTTGAATCTACAAGGCTTTGTGGCAGCTCGGTTATTTGTGCCCAGCCAGACTGCAGCAAAGGCTGCAAAACTCTGAGGGCTGGCAGGGTGGGGTACCTGGCTGTAAGGTGGAGTAAGCCAGCTCAGGCTCTTTCTAGGAATTGTTGTGGCACCCCATGTGAGAGCAGGGGCAGTGCATCAACTTGGCTCACCAGTGCCACATCCCAGAGAAAGATTTAAGTTCCACAAGGACGCCAACGAGGGGTGCTGTGGATACTCCTCAGGACTAATGGTCTAGACAATGGAGCTAAGTATAGAAGTCCACCTGGCCAGCAGGCAGGAGGAGTCAAAGATGGGGAGGGCTTCCAGAAAAATGCCCAGTTCTTTCCTGACCGTCCCTTAGTAGAGGCTAGGCTCTTGGGTTAACTTTTTTTCCCCCCACTGTGGTGCTGGGGATGGAACTAGTTAGGGCCTCAAGCACATTAGGCAAGTGGTCTCCCTCTGAGCTGCACTCCTGGGCTCCTGCACATCATTATCTCCTGAAGTACTTGGTGTCTTCCTCCAGATTTCCTTAGCAATGAGTCAATGGTGTCTTCCTGCTTCGTGGGTGGGTGGAGTGCTGGGCTCCATGGAGTGGCCTTTCCTGCACCACACCGCGTGTGCAAGGGCCTGCCCAAGGCCAGCCCAGCTACTTTGGATGACTGGTCATTATTAGAATGCCTGACTTGGTGAAACCATTCCACCAGTTGAGGGCTTTATTTGGTTTTCTTTTTCTTTAATCATTTTTGGCTCTGCTTTTCTTAAACAACATTTAATTCTGACCCCAGAGGTTAGTTCCTTCTCTTCCTTCAGACTTGGCATTTAGTCACTTTTTTAGTTCTGTTCCCCTGGAAACCAGATAAAAGCAGAGTGTCAATTGTTTCAAGGCAATATTTTTATTTTTTTCCTTTCACTCAACTATTAATTTTTTGATTGGTATTTCATAGATATACATAAAGGTAGAATTCTCTGTGGTATTTTTACAGTTGCACATAGTATGATTTTGTCAAATTCATTCTACATTCCTTCCCCTCCTTTCCTGTCCCTCCTCCCTCCCTCTTGATCTCCTTCTTTTCCACTGGATCTTCTCCATCTTTATGATATCTGATTTTTCCCATTTTGCTTTAGTTTCTGCCTATCAGAGAAAACATCTGACTCTTTTCTGTGTCTGGCTTATTTCATTTAGCTTGAGGTTCTCTGTTTCCACCCATTTACCAGACATGCCATAATTTCATTCTTTATGGCTGAATCAAACTCCATTGTGTATATATACCATTTTAATCCATTCATTTATCAACAGGTCCCTGGGCTGGTTCCATAATTTGGCTATTATGAATTGTGCTGCTATAAACATTGATGTGGCTGCATCACTATAGTATGCCAATTTTAGTTCTTTTGGCTAAAGACCAGGGAGTACAGCTGGGTCATATAGTGGTTCGATTCCTAGTTTTTTGAGGACTCTCCATACTACTTTCTAGAGTGGTTGTACTAATTTGCAGGTGTACCTTTTCCCTCATATCCTGGGGACCCTGGAAGCTATGCCTATCATATTGTTCAAAGAGATTTGAACATTTATTATCTGTATTCTTGATAATTGTTATTTTGACTGGAATGAGGTGAAATCTTAGTGTGGTTTTGATTTGCATTTCCCTGATTGCTAGAGTGAACATTTTTTCATATATTTATTGGTCATCTGTTACTTTTCTTGAGAAATGTCTGTTTAGTTATTTTGTAGGCTCTCTTCACATGCATTTTCTTTGCTGTGCAGAAGTTTGAAAATTTGATGACATCCCACTTATTGTTGGTTTTATTGCTTACACATTAGGAGTCTGGTTAAGGAAATTGGTGCCTGTGCCAGTATGTTAGAGTATTGACCCTATGTTTTCTTCTAGCAGTTTCAGTGTTCCTAGTCTAATTTATTAAGTCTGACCCATTTTGATGTGACTTTTGTGCCAATAGGTAGGAATCTAGTTTCACTCTTCTGCATATGGATATCCAGTGTTCCCAGCACCATTTGTTGAAAAGGTTGTCTTTTCTCCAACATGTTTTTGGCACCTTTGTGGGTATGTGAATTTGTCTCTTGTCAATTCCACTGATCTTCTTGTCGACTTTGATGCCAATATCAATGCTGGTTTGGTTACTATAGCTCTGTGGTACAGGATCAGGCACTGGGATGTCTCCAGCATTCCTCTTCTTGCTCAGGATTGTTTGGCTACTCTGGGTCTTATTCTTACAAATGAATTTCAGGACTTTTTTTTTTCTAGTTCTGTAAAAAATGTCATTGGTATATAAAAAAATTTATTTTTAGTTGTAGACAGCCAGAAAACCTATATATTTTTAATTTTTATGTGGTGCTGAGGATCGAACCCAGTGCCTCACACATGCTAGGCAAGCGCTCTACCACTGAACCACAACCCCAGCCCCGTCATTGACATTTTGATAGGGGTTGTACTGAATCTGTACAGTGCTTTGTGTAGTATGGCCACTTGGACAATATTTATTCTATCAAGGCACTATTTATTATGGTAAAAATGTCCCCTACCTGTAAATAAATTGGTCTCAGAATCCTAAACTATGGGCTTCTTGAGTGCAGTGCCTCAAAATGGCAATGGCCCTCACAGGGACCCTGGAAACTATGCCTATCATATTGTTCAAAGAGATTTGGCAATCTTGGAGCATCATGCTTCTAAGCCAAGGTGAGTCCTGCCTTCTCCTTGATGTCCATCCCCTGTACCTAAGCCATCACCTGGGCAGCCAAGGAGAACAATTCTTGTTTATCCTGGTGACTGTAGCCTCTGCAAGGCCTGCCTTGCCCCACCTGCTGGCAGCTGTTTCCTGTCTGAGGGCTTCAGATTGCATCCAGCCTCCCCTATGGGAGTCTTGAAATTGAACTATTCCTTGGATGTAAGGTGAGATATTGTACCCATTTTTAGCTGTGGAGTTTGGGCAATTACTTGAATTCTCTAAGCTGTCTTTGTGTTTATAAGATAGGGGAACATAGTTGTTATCCTAAAGGGCTGTGAAATTTAAATGAGATGATATACATAAAACTCAGCACAATAAGCACTTTCAAAATTGAACATCAGTAAAGTGCCTACTCTTGGTGATGAGCAAGTGAGGGTGTCCATTCAGCTCCATGAGGCCCAGCCTCACAGCATGTCTGGCCTGCTCAGATACAGGTGTTAGCTTCAATGTCTCGGTCTCTTGAGGCAGTAAGGACGTTCAGAAGTTTGTTCCTCAAGTTCAGTCGGGCCCTCTTTGGGAGCATCTTGACTGAACAGCACAGCCACCCAGGGCCTCATGCTCAGGAGTATAGAAAAGAGGGACTATTGTAGTTTGGCAGCCTTGACACTGGCTGCTTCAGTGACTGTGATTAGAACCTCATAGTGGCCAAGTGGAAAGGATATGTGGGTATGTGAATTTGTCTCTTGTCAATTCCACTGATCTTCTTGTCGACTTTGATGCCAATATCAATGCCCCATCTGCCCGACCACTCCGTTGTCTAGGCTGTGCCTCCTGTTCATGCTATCAAGAACATCAAGAACTGGTAAAGGCTGGTAGAGCCTGCAGAAGTCTCATCCAAACCACTCATAGCCTGATGGGCCTAAAGGAGGGAAATGACCCACCCAAGGGTCTATAGCAAGCAGGCAAGAATTTAAGCCTTACAGTCAGGTAAGCTGGCTTCAAACTCTTCTTTGGCCTTTCCTGCCTGTGGGACCTGAGCTTTTCCTTTGTTGTGAAGATTCAGTAAGATAACTATAATTCCTAAAGAGCAGTTTGTGTGGCACAGATTTATACAAGTGTTGTTACTGTTATGGTCAGTGTTAGTCAACTGTCACTCTGACAAAATCCCTGAGAAAAACAACTTAGAGGAGGAAAGATTTATTCAGCTCCTGTTTTCAGTCCCTAGTTGGCCAAGTCAATTGCTCTGGGCCTGAGGTGAGGCAGAACATCATGGCAGAAAGATGCGGTGGAGGAAAGCTGCTCAGCACATGACAGCCAAGAACAGAGCCAAAGACAAGATACAGTCCCCACGGGCCTGCCTCCAGGGATACACTCCCTCCAACTATACCTGCTACAGTTTCTGCTACATCTTAAATTCATACAGCTATGAATCCTTCAGTGGATTAATTCACTGATAAAGTTAGAGCCCTCATGATCCAGTCACATCCCCACCTCTGAACATTACAAGCCTTCACCACATGAGGCTTTGGGGGATGTTCCAGATCCAAACCATAACAGATTACACTGCACTGAGCAGTTGCTCCTTATATTTTCTCTCCAGCTCCTGAAAACCCTAAACTTTGTCATAAGCATGAGGGTGAGGATGAAGCCAGCTGAGGCTCTTCACATTTGCTGGCTCTCATGCTACTTCTTACTGCCCCATATGGTGCAACTGCTAGGCTCCCCACTGTCCAGCTGCACCACAGCAAAGCCCTTTGAGGGCAGAGAATGGATTCACACAACTGTCCTGCTAGTCAGTTGCTGGGACCTTGGGGGCTTCTGGAAGCTAGCCTGTTGTGTAGGATTGCTGGGATTAGAAGAGCTCTTAGGGACCGTCTAGTCCAAGCTCCTCATTTTATGTATGTGAAAATCAAGATGGAGAGGAGAGTGATCTGCTCACTGAATGCAGAGTGACTTAACTGTTAACTGATTAAAAAGACACTGGCATCTGTATTGGTTTTTATTTATAAACAAATTGACATAAAATAAGTCCAGATGGCAGCAGGAGCAGCTGAACTGCTGACTTGCTTACAAGGAAGCACAGGACAGTGAGGAGGCAAACATTCCAGCCTAGAGACCCTCCCCCAACCACAGGGCCTTTTTGGCCTAAAATCATTAGGCCCAATTTTCTGCAGCAGTTCTGGTGAGGGTAAGGAACTGTGGTGGAGACCGTGTGGGAGAGCTCCCATCCCGCAGGAGGGCTGGGGCTACAAATGGCCCACTGGGGGCAGAGAGAGGCAGACAGTATGACCCTCTTCTCCCAATGGGAGCACGTGGGTCTGTCCATTCCAAAGAGAAGCACCCTAGGCAGTGTCCTCTGAAAAGGGGCTACACCCATTGGGAGCCTCTCTGGGACCAGGGCAGGGTAGTATCCCTACTCTCAAAACCCAGTGTCTGGTGCAAGAGAAGTATTACCCAGAGTGTCTGCCCAAGTCCAGAAACAATAAATTAGCAATAAGAAAAGATCTTTTTTAAAAAAGGTAAAGGTTTGCACCATGAGTTTGTGGAGTCTGGGATCTGGTGGGAAGGCAGGCACTGTGGGGCAGTGGGATGCCACACCAAACCCAGGATGAGAGCGGCAGGGTAGGGGGGTCCAAGGGCTCTTCCTCTGCCACTTGGACAGTGCTCAGTCTAAATTCCTGGTGAGAGGATAGCTGGGCTTAAAAAATAAATAGAGGGGACCTCAGAGCCATGGCAGGGCTGAGGGGAAGAGCAGCGCCAGCCCCAGGCCCATACTTGCCCCTCCTTGGTCCTTCATGGAAGGACTCATCATGGCAAGAGGGGTGGGGGTAGCAGTGGTGGCTCCACATAGCCTCCTGGAGTCCTGGAGTGGCCTGGGCTCCAGTGAGGTGCCTAGGAGCAGACTGGTAGCCTTCTTCCAAGGAGAAGAATGCCCCATCTGCCCGACCACTCCGTTGTCTAGGCTGTGCCTCCTGTTCAGAACTTGCCCTGCTTCAGCCGGTCAATGTGGAAGGAGAGCTTGAGTGCAGGCCCCAGCTTTAGACCCATGTACTTCATCATCATGTCACTGCGCAGCAGGAGCAGGGCCTTGCCATCGATCTCCTGGAGATGGGGGTAGTGGGGAGGTGCTATCAGAGGCCTAGTTGGTCTGACTGCCCCACGTTCTGATTAAAGGCCACCCATAGAAGTGCCAACTGCATGGAGTATGTCATGCTGCTGGGACACTGAAGCCTTCCTGTTCTCCCCCTTTGCCTCTGAGCATCCCTCTTCCCCAGGCATTGACTACCAAGCAGTCGCTTAGATCCTCACACAAGCTTGTACTGTGTTCCTGGGAGGTGGTTCCCCACCCTCCAAGCCTAAGACCCAGCTCAACTCCATCTCTTCCAGGAAACCTCCCAGTCTGTGTACCTGGCCTGTGTTTATATTGACCCTCAACTGCTATTCTGTGACTCATCAGCTCTCCTGAGCAGCAGAGGCTTCTCTGCGTGAGCTGGGCCAAAGCAGAACTCACTGAACAGCTGCATGCCCTTCAGGCCTGTTCTAGTCACTGTGAAAACCTACCTGGTGTGAAAGACATAAAGGAGCAGTGACCTACTCTAAGTGCCCAGAGAAAGAAAAGTATCAAGCAGCACTGGCTGAGGAGATGCAGGCTTGAGACCCAAATCAGGAGTATGGTCAGAGCTGGGGGATCAGGGGCAATGCTGCCATGGAGCCAAAGGGTCACTTCAAGAGATGTTGAAGGCTCACAGAGGAGCAAGTAGGTGATGGGGGACTGATAAGGTGTGTGTGTGTGGGGTCACTTGCTAGGAATTCTTTAAAAACTTGGGCTGAGGCCCCTGATTCTCACGCAAAGGCAGGTGGGAAAGCAAACTTCTGGGAGAAGGGACTGAGGTCCCTGTGCTTGAAGCTGAGCCCCAGTCCACAAACCCGGCAGGAATGTGGCCAAATCATCCTACACTCATTGAATAAAGTGGACATAATGCCCAGTGGTCTGTCTGAGACCCCAGATTCTGTTTCTATGTTTCTATGGCATCTCCTGCATTCTGTTTCAAAGGACCTGGAACAAATGGATAGCTAATGCCCTTTAAAAGTCTATAGGCTACAGTGGCAAAATTTCTAGTAAACATGGGAGAGGTCAGACAGAGGCACCTACATGTTTTCGAAAGAGGTCAGCATGGGGTCCAAGCTGAGGATCAGCTTCCCGGACAAACTGCATCACGTCCTCGACTGTCCATGAGGAGGGGTCCCGGCTACTCAGTCGAGAGGCTTCCCGGCTTTCCAGGTATCGGTCAGACCCTGCAGGAGAGGAAGGCGCCTACCATAGCGGGTGGGTATGTCCTTACCACTCCCTGGGCATACTCAGTGGCCTTGCAGGTGATGTGCTCGGCGGCAGTCGAGCATGAGCAGAGGGACTGAGGCAGCCTTGGGAGTCATGAGTTCTTCCACAGAAGGAAAGTCAAATTGACTTTAATAGAGGACCTTGTATGGCACTAAAAACCACTGGCTCTTCTCAGTGACAGGTAGGTTTGAGCAGAGGAGTGATACACACCAGCTTAAAATCAAAAGGATCCTTTCAAGGTCCATGTGGATGACACATATTAGAAGGGAAGGAGTGAAACAAGAGAGCAGTTAAAAAAGAAACTATAAAAATCCAGGCAGGAGACAGCTGTGGTCTACACCACGGTGGTGGTGGAGAAAAGTGATCAGATAGGTGATCAGTATTCCAAATTATAAAGAACCTCACCATTGTCAGTTCAAGTCACCTTTAAAACAACCCTTGAAGGAGGTCCTCGCCATCTTTAGTTTAAAGAGAAGGGAACCCAGGTCCAGAGAGGTAAAGAAACTTGCCCAAGACCATACACCTAGGAAGGAGATACTTTAGTGCCCTGGCTTTGTCTTCTACTCCCATTTCTGCAGACAGCTTATCTCAGGCCCCTGTTTCTCACCCTAATATGTACAACTGGTGGCTGCCCTTCAAGGAAGGCTGCTTGTCTCTGTGACTGACTGAGGCAGGTGAGGCACATCCATAAGAGACCAGACTAACAAACCCATAATTAATCTGGATTAATGAAAGAAGACAGGGGATAGACTCAACATCTAAATTCTTTGAAACAAATAATTCTAGGGCCAAATAGAATCCTCTAGTCTTACAAGGGTTTTCAGGGTCAAAGAGGTTTAGACCATAACCTGGCAGACAGACTCACAATGTGTTCCATAGGAAGAGTGGAGATCCTAGGAGGCCACAGTGCCATCTGAAGCCAGCGTCATGAGAGGAACCTATCTCAAAGCACCACCCAGAAACAGGCCTTGGGGAAGACAACAATCACAGAAAATCCCTACATACCTGGGGAATGATTTAGTTTCCAAAATGATTCCATACCCCTTCTTTCATTTGATCCTTTTAACACTCCTGTGGAAAGAACAGGTTGGTATCAGCAGCATATCTATTTCCCACATGAGGAATACTTTGCATATGGGAGACCTGAGAGGTGGGACAACTTACCCCAGTCACAAGGCAGAGGAGGTGAGGCTAAAATCAGCTCTCAGCTCAACCTCTACTTGAGGTCTCTTTCTATCCCATTTTGCCACCTGGCTGGGGTGGGGGTGGGGAGATACCACAGGCTTCTTCTCCTGACTCAGTCTTCATGAAAACTCTCTTTCTCCCGAGGTCACCTTTCATTGCTGATCTTGCTGATGGAGTCTATTTTTTTCATACCTCACATGTCCCTGGGCTGGGGGAGGCCAAGCTGGGGATATGGAGGTGGCAATTTCCTGCTTCCCCAATCTAAGATCATCTACCTATGAAATGTTCTTCAGAGGCCAAAAATGGACCTAATCATCTGCTTTTCCTGGTCACAGTTATATAACAGATCTCTAAGTTACTACCCCTTGTTAAATGAAGCCTTTTGGTACTTGCTCACACTTTCTGTCCCACACCAATTCCTTCCATTATCCTTAGAAGTGATCCATTTAACTACCATGACTCCAGCGACTTTCACCTCCAGTCTACTTCAAATTCCTACTGCCAAGGCCACTGTCTGGTTCTTGCCATCACTTGGAACAAGTCTACTTCAGGATTTTATTTTTTGGTAGTAGGAATTGAACCTAGGGTCCTTAACTACTGAGCAACCCACTCAGATCTTTTTTTTTAGACAGGGTCTTGCTAAGTTATTGAGGCTGGCCTTGAATTTGTGATCAGTCTCCAGAGGTACTGGGATTATAGGCATGTGCTACCACACCCAGCAACTTCAGAATTTTAAACATTCCATTTGCTGACACCAACCTCTCATCTTTGTAACTCTCTTGAGACTTACACGTTCAGTACAGGCATTGCATCACATTCTTCAGCATTGTCCACAACCAGTAGCTGATGACCTTACTCACTCTCCTAGCTCCACTGATTTCCTTACATACACTCCATTCCTGCCCCATCTTGCCTTACTAGCTTAACTTAAAACCCTATTCTCAAACTGTCTTTTCTCATTCCATATCTAGATTACTAATAACCACAGAAGAAAACCACAGCTCTGTAAACTGGCAAACTATTTCTCCAAGCATAGTTGGGCCCCTGATGTTTCCTGTAAATCCTCCCTTACTTGATCCATTTCTCCTAGACTGGTCCAATCTTTCAGCACTCCTAAGCCCTCCCCTACTCAGCCCTCTCTCTGTCCACTGATGGACATGATCTTCCTTCTTACCCTAGAGAAGGTGTATTCCCCCACCCCCACCCCGCTTAAGCCTGTCTATGTCTTTGATTTTTCTTCCTTCCCACTACCTGCAAGGTTTTCTCCTCTTCCCTATATTCTTTTAACTTTTTGGAAAGCTCAAGTTGTCTACTGACAAACATGCTTGAGTATTCCAACTCTAAAAGAATTTCTTTTGAATTATAGGCCCTCTCACCACCATCTTTCTTTCTTCTTCTTTTTTTAAATATATCTAGTTGTCAATAAACTTTTACTTAGTTTATTATTTTATATGTGGTGCTGCGAATCAAACCCAGTAACTCACACATGCCAGGCAAGTGCTCTACCATTGAGCAATATTCCCCAGCCCCCCACAATCTTTCTTTATTCCTAAACTCCCCTTGATATGACCCCAACCTCTCCCACCACTGAAGTCACTCTTGCTAAGATAACTACTTACTGGCTCAACAGATACTTCTCAGTCCCTCTGTGACCACATATTCAGCTGTGCTCTCCTTAGAACACGGCTTGTATCCCTGGCCACCACACTATCAACTTCTTTTTCCCCTTACTCTCAATGTTCCTTTGCCTCCTTGGCAGGCTCCTCTTTCTGTTCCTACCTCCTGTACTTTATTGGTTCCCAGGACGCCATCATTGCTCAACTGTTCTTTTTATTCCACACATTTTTGTGGGAAGTCATTCACCTTATCCTTTTTACTATCTACATGTCGATGACTCCCAAACACTTCCCTTCAGCTCAGTACTTCTGACATTCAGACCTGGGCAGCTGCTGCCTGCTGGGTGTCCTCACTGACCCTCGAACTGGCTCCCTCTGTTCCTACTTTTCCATGGTTGGTTCTCTTTTGGTGAATGGCACTGCCTTCCCTCCAGCCACCACAGACAGACATCTAAACCTGGAAGACATTCTCCACTCCCTCCTTTCTCACAATCCTTAGCTCTGACAACATTTATCTCACGGATAACTTTCTTCTGTTTCTAAACCTCTATCACTAATTCAGGCTGTCATCATTCTGGTTGGCCCACTCTTGTAAATCTGGTAACTGGTCTTCTAGTGTGTCCCTCCTCAAGTCCATACACAATATAGAAGGCAGAATCCTGCTGGAAACACAAACTTGGTCTATGCCTTGTCTCTAATTAAAAGCCTCTGGTAGCTTCACATTGCCTGCAAGATAATGTTAAAACTCATTGGCATGGCATTTAAGGTCTCCAGTGATACATGCTCTGACCCTTCCAGGCTTTGCTCTGTGAAGCCCTGTTATCACATTTTATGTTTCAGCAATATAAAACTGCACACACTTCTGGGGCCACCCATATTATCTCCTATCCCTTTGTCCTTGCATATCTCCTCTTCCTGGAACCCTCTTACCCCTGTCATGACTATTCACACAGTTTTAGACAAGGTACCACTTGCTCAAGGAAGCTTCCCTTAAATGCCAAGCTGGATTAGGTGTCTCTTCTTGCAGTTTTCATACTATTCAAAGCATATTTGTCACTGCATTCGATATTATTTTATAATTATCTTTTTAAGTGTTTGTCTCCCTTACAAGACAAAAAGTGATTTCTTTTTTATATACTCCCACCAAACATATGGAATGAGTCTTTCCTGTTTCTTTTGTCTCCCAGTCTTTGGCTTTTAGTTTCTACTATTCTCAAGTTAACCCCAGATTCTAATTGCTTTCCAGGTGCCTGATATCAAGCATAATAGTGGGTTTAGCCCCAGTCCCACCACCATACAGGGGGCAACAGAGCTAGGTTCCCTCTGGCTTCCCAGAGTTGAGGAGGAAGGAAAAGAGGAGGGAGGGAGGGAGACAGAAGGCCCCAAACTTTGGTCATCTTACCCCTGGAGCATAGCCTGCGCACAGCTGAGGCAGTGCTCTGTGGGAGGCCGCAGGAGGGAAGCAAGGGCCGGTACCCAGAAGTTCGAAGATTCTGGGAGGTACTGACAAGGTTGGTAGGATTCAACGTAGAGTCCATTGAGTCTGTGTGTGGTGCCAAGGACCGGGCCAGACTATTCCCCAAGACAAAGGTTTCACCTGGAAAACAATACAACCAGGGGTAGAGCAGGGGTGAGCTTTCAGAGTGTTGGTTCTCAATACCAGCTGAGAGGAACAAGAGGCAACAAGACATAAATCCTTGGCTGGGACTCAGGAGACCTGTGTGTCAGTCATGGCCCCAACTCTCACCAGGTGTCCTTAACCAAACTCAGTGTCACTTTCTGGACTTTGGCTTGCTTAAAGACTCCTCTTCTTAGACTGGATAGTCTTTAAGATTTTTTTCTGCCTGGATGTCCTAAGATTTTATAGATAAAGAGAAAAAATTTATTTAAAAAATGGAGTCTCTCTAGCATGGAAGAAACTGCCTTAGTCACAAGGTGCTCTAGAGCAGGGATAGGGGTGCCACTAGCTATCACCAGAAGGGATACATTTGCTCAGAAGAGGGTCCTTTAGAAGCTGACCTCTGCTGAACCACCAGACATCTCAGAAATGATGCTTGATGCCCAGTTAAAGGCCTGTCTAAGGATCATCTGCTCCTACTTTGTAACCTCCGTTTTTATTTACCCTGTTCAACAGAAACTTTCCAGGGAAGCTTGGGTTGTACACTGGGGAAAGCTTGGGCTTGGAGATGAGGATCAGGGTTAGAATTTGGCTCTGCCACTTAGCAGAGTGCTTCCCTGAAAACCTGTCTCCTCACCTATACCATGGGAAACCCATCTACATAAGGGGTAGCCTTACAAGGGGCTTGAGAATGTCAGAAACGAATGGCTATGAAAGCCATTGAAAGGGAATCTCACCCTGATGTTTCTATACCTGGCCCATGTCCCAGCATCAGGCAGTAGCATGCAATCACAGCACTCAGGAACCCAAAGCTGACACCCTCTTGTAACCAGCTTCTACCTAGGCCAAGTTAATTCTTCAGCTCTATCCACTGCATCCTCTGTATGGGGAGGGGGTCTTGGGTACCAGACCATATCAGTGTTCTTCATGATTTTTAGAATCAAGTGTGTGGATAATGCTTGGGATTCATTCAGGGACTCTGATAAACACTAAATTTGTCTTCTGACACACAGTAAGACCTCACTGGCAAGATGATTTAAAATTTTAGGACAACTTCCTAATACCTAAAACTGGTCAGCGATCATGTGCTCAAAGTCAAATCTGGCATCAGATAGCTTATTCCTCTCCACAGGGAGGTTAATTGTGGATGCCCTTTTCTAGAAGGAGTTCTGAAAGAAGTTTCTGAGGCTCCAGGATCCCTACACCATGCCTACTTTTTTTCTGCAGATGAGGCTTCTGATTTTCCAGAAATCTGTAGCAGTTCCACTTTGAGACATGAACCAACCAAGAAGTGGGAGACCTGGGTTCTACACCTGGCTTCTGCCTTTCACTAGGTATGTTATCCTAGGCAAGTTGCTTTTGTTCTCTGAGCACCAGTTTCCTCATGTGTAAAATTGGGGAAAACCATTCTGTACTACAGAGAACATTAAATGAGAACATGGAATAGGTTGTGAGAAACTGTTACTTTGTTATTATTCATAGTTGGAGTAGCAAATCAAACTTTGAAAAAAATTGTTTTGATCTAATTTCTGCAGTTCTCAGTAGAGTCACCTCACCCTTCCAGCCATTCAATAGAGTCACCTCACCCTTCCAGCCATTCCACCCTTCCAGGCCTGCTGCTGTCTGCCTCAGAGGCCAACAGCTGTGACACATAATCATGACAACAGTGCTAGTGCTCACCAGATGCTGATGCAGACAAGTGGGAATCTCTTTCTTTCAGCAGCACCAAGGATGCTGAGATCTGGATTGTGATTTGAGGGGTCTGAACATCTGGATGGTGGCATCTGGACTAGGCAAGATCATTAAATCTTGTCCTAATGAGATATACTAGAAAAATTAAGCATCATGCCAAAGCTCTGAGAGGCCCTAGACATTTTAAGGCTGATCTTATGGGTCCTGCTGCTTTTGGGTAGGACAAGGTCAGGGTAGAAGACCACAGTGATACTTTCCAATTGTGCTCACAGAATCTGTGGATCCTCCACAGGGAGGCTCTGGGCCTCATTCCAGTTTCTATTAATTTTTATACACTGGAGGTTAATGTAATCTTACCTTTGCAAAAAAAATTACTACTAAAACAAGTTTCACTGGTTCAGGTATCTGAGGTTAGGGCTGGAAGATGAGTTCTACTTCTAGAATGATCATTTGTCAATCATCAGTGCCTTTTTCTGAGATTCAGTTTGCCCATCTATAAGATGGAGATGAAAAATCTTTAGTCTTCTACGATCAATGTAAATTAAATTTATTGTTGCTATGCTGGAGACACGACAGCAATAATCATTCAACAAGTAGTGGAATGATGCTGCCACTCTATTGGGTACAGGGAAATAGGCGGGGAGGCCCTTACCCATGTACTCACTTTCAGGGAGAAGCAGCTTTTCTCAAAGTGACTTGAGAATTAAATGGTGGAGAGGAGCCTAGAGATCATGGCCATGGGGAAAGGGCATGGGGAGGCAAATGTTCTGGAGAAAAGTCATGGGAGACAAATACCCCAATGGCAGCCTGGGCAGGGAACAGGGCTACAGATAGCTTTTGTTCTTTTGGAATGCAGAAAGTAGAACAAGGGGCAGGAGTTAAAAGAAGGCAGATTTCAGTTCACAAAAGGAAGGCATTTTAGCTGGGTGTCGTGGCACACATCTGTAATCCCAGTGCCTTGGGAGGCTGAGGCAGTTCAAAGCCAGTCTCAGTAACTTAATGAGGCCTTAAGCAACTCAGTGATATCCTTTCTCAAAATAAAAAAGAAAAAGGGCTGGGGATACGGCTCAGTTGTTAAGTGCCCCTGGGGTTAGTTTTTGGTACAAAAAATAAATAAATTAGGTATTTTAGATTTTAGTCTGAAAATAAAATCAACTGCCAAAAAAAAAGAAAAAGAAAAAAAAAAAAAAAAAAAAAGGAGCAACCTGTCATTGGGAGTATTTAAGCAGAGGTCAGAAAAGCACTCGGTGACCTCTATGGCATTTTCTACTTCTGAGGTTCAAGGATTCCATGTTCACACCTACCTCTCCCTTGTAGAATGAACTGAGTAAGTATGGAACTACTGAGTAAGTATGGAACTAGAGCTATGGATCCAAGAAAATTCTCAGACCAGCACAGGACTTGGAGATACAAACACAATCCTCGTGCAAGCTGAAGGTGTTAAAGAACCATGTGGCCCACATCTTCTCCTGCCTATTCACCCATAAATCCTGTTAAATACCATGTGACAATTAAGGTGATGGACACTGAGAATGGTAAACACAAGATTGTTATTCAACTTATGAAACATTTAGTCTAGTGAGAAGGATGGAAAAAATGCAGGTAAGTTAAACTCTTATAAATATTACAAAGGAAAGGAATAGGGCATCCAGGCAGACAATAATAGGGGGGTCCTTTTAGATGAGGAGACCAAGTTTCTCCCTGACAAACTTGATGTTTAAGCTGGTCTGCAGAAGAGTACAGCCATCTGGGAACTGCACATGTGCCAGACAATGTGCTTCAATTAACCACAAACATGTGATTCCTGAAAACTCTTGACAATTCCATGAGGAAACCTACATGGTGATGAGAGGCACCCTGAGAGACTTCATAGTTCTTACTTGGCTTTAATCTCAGTGAGTCTTGGGATTTGGGCAGAAGAACCACTTTATCACTAACTCTGGAGATCAGGATGGCAACTAGAAAGAAAGGTACAAGAAACTCATTGTCCTGGAACAAGTGAACCACCTCCTCTATCAGAGAGGAACATGGGAAATCTCAAAATAGCAGACCCACAGGTTAATTCTAGATGGACTTCAGTTATAGCTAAAAAATAGTTACTGCTAAAACAAACAGTTGGTGGGGCCCATCACTATCAATTTTTAGGGGACCTGAAGGAGCCCCTCTAACTTAGTCTCCATAAGACTTGTCCTTGATTCAGTAAATGTGGTCCTAAAGAAGGGACTCTGCTCTAACACTGACTTCCCCAGAAATCTTCTCCCCTCTCCTTTCAACCCAGTAATTGTTCATCACAACTGTCTATGTCAGAATACCTCGGGTCCATGCTCTTAATCACGTCCACATTCCACATCTCTCCCTTTCTCAGCTCTTTGAGCCCAGGGGTTGAGTCTGTTTCATCTCTATCTCCCTAGAGTCCAGTATAAAATCTAAGACAGAATGAGTATTTAATAAATGTTTGATGACTTAAACAGCTGGCCTGGTCCCTCAAAATGTCCATGTCATGTCATGGAAGATAAAGACAAAAGAACTACTCTAGTTAAAGGAAGCTAAGGAGATAGCACAATGAAATGCAGTGGATGATCCTTCATTGGATCTTGGATTGAAAATAAATAGCTATAAAGGACATCACTGGGACCACTGGGGAAAATTATGATATAGATTGCATATTAGCCAGAATTTTCTTATTTCTTGCATTTAAAAAAATATTTATTTTTTAGTTGTACACAGTACCTTTATTTTGTTTATTTATTTTTATGTGGTGCTGAGGATGGAACCCAGGGCCTCGCATGTGCTAGGTAAGCGCTCTACCGCTGAGCCACAACCCCAGCCCCAAATTTCTTGCATTTTTTTATGTTAAATTCTTATTTTAAAGAGAAATAGACAAAGGTATTTAAAGGTAAACTTTCTCATCTGTAGTTAACTCTCAAATGATTCAGTAAATAAACACACAAACATACATATGCATACATGTGTGTATATATATGTATATATACACACACAAACATATATAATATATATATACACACACACAGAGACAGAAGTTTGTATATACTCATACAGGAAGAGCAAAAATAAATATTGCAAACTTAAGTGATAGTACAATGAGAAACCATGAAGGGTGCATGGTTTCTCATTGTACTATTTTTACAAGTTTTCTATAGGTTTGAAAGTTTTCAAAATAAAATAATGAGAAAGTAATTGTCTCAATTTAGGAATTTAGGCAAAGAAACTGAATCCAAGATGAAGTCTACCTGAGCTTTTGGTGGCTGTCTGCCATGTTAGAAGTGTACAACCAGTTAGGCCAAGATCATAGTGGTAGGGTACTGTGGAGACAAGCTGGAAGGGAGAGAGCTCTAGTATGCACCCAGAAAACATAGGTGGTACCTACAGATGTCAAACTAGTAGAAATATGTAGTCGGTACATGGGCAGGAGTGATAAATATCAAATCCAAAGGGCAAAGCAAAAGACAACTCTTGTACGATTGAGCTCAGTTATCAGAACAACACAAGAACCGATAAAGGACCAGGAACAGAGAAAAGGGTCACTAAAGCAGGCAAACAGGCAAGATAATTTATAAGGCACAGAGGAGTTAGGAATCCAGGCAAGGCTCTGACTTTTCTGAGCACAGTTAAAAGGCTCATTCAGGGAAGCAAATAGAAACCATGGTGGGAGCAGAAAATTTGATGAGCACCCACTATAAGGAAATTGAGCTTAGAAAGTAAACAAGGGCACAGAGTTGGCTCTTTATCTGTCTGAAAGTGGGAGAAGGGAAAGGAGGCAGAAAATGGGAAAAATGACACCCTATTCATTGTCTCTTTCTTAGCTGGTAGAGCAGGAAGAGTCTGGCTGAAGCTTGCTCCTCTTATCTGGTAGATGAATCAGAGAGAAGTAAACTGGAACAGAATTCCCAGGAAAGGTCATACTCCAGTCCCAAACCACATTCATGACTTCAGGCCCAGTCTCTGAATGCTGCTGCCAGTATACTTTTTCCAGTTCTTAATGATAGTATTCCACTTAAAAATTCCGAGATCCTATTTATTTCAGAAGCATTTTTCTCTTTAAATGAACAGCTACCCTTGTGGACAAGCTACCCACTCTTATGTATCCCTGCTTTTAGAATCAGGTAGACCCAGCTTTCATGACAGAAATGCAGCTCAGAATTCCTCAATAGCTGCAGATATTTAAAAACTTGCCTTTGTTTGTACCAACTCCACCGTGTCTTGTGCAACATTCTAACTGCAGGTAAGAATACCTTTTCTGTTCTCAAAAAATCTAATGCTGAAAGGAAGCAATCTAGAGCAGGTTGGGTGAGAAGTTCATCCTGAAGAAAAGAACCAGACAGGAGGCACAGACACGGCTGCAGGGACCAGATGGTCTGACGCCCACAGGAATATTTACAATTCAGCTATCTTTTGTCCCACCTGCAAGTCATACAAGTAAGGCTCATTTGGGTGCAGAAGTATAGATGGGGCAGGGGAGAAAATAAATGGTCACTTCCCTGAGACATTCTCCAGAAGTAGCATTTAAGTCAGAAGTGGTCCATTAAAACTATACTGAAAGAAAGAAGAGAGAAGAAGCCACAGGAACAAGCCTTGAGGGGCACCTTTCAGACCTGTGCTTTCTTTCCCAAGGGTAGACAGCACAACCCCATACTGACCACACCTCTTCTCAGCTCTTCCGCTTGGGACATGGTCCACAGATGTCTTTTAAAAGGCCTTTCTCCCTTTCAACAGTGACCTACCTTGCTATGTTAGGCTGAGCTTTCCTTCACCCACTCTGTTCTGCGTCCTGAACTCCAGATTAGAGATGTGAGTTCCATTCACTCTTCAACCTCTCTTGGAAGTGCTTAGTCACTGACCTAGCCACGTGGCATCCGCTTTCCCATTGTGAGTCTGGTATGTAAAACTAAAAAAGTTATTTTCCGGCCTAGTTGGAAATAGCAGGAACTTGAATTGACTTGCTAGACTGGCAGTGCTAAAAGAGTTAGGGCCATGTGCCAAAGGAAAGAATGATGGCCAATCACCAGGGAGCAAGTTTTTCAATCTCCAGCCTGAGACTAAACCTTCCTGCTGGTGAGAGAGAGCTGTGTTAGACCTTTGCTGCCAGCTTCACCCTGGGAAGTACGCTGTGATTTCACAGTGGTTCCACATGCTGTTTGGAGCTCAGAAGGGGGGATTTATAAGCCAGCTTTTCTTAGGGATAAGGGTCCAGAGGAAAGAAGAGTAATCAAGAACAGAAGACAAAATCCTAAAGCATAAAGATATCAAGAAATCAAAACCTCCCAGATGTGTTGCAGATGTGGACAGAAAGATGTCAGGCTAGCAGGTCTGAGAACTGGCCCTAGAAGGTGCTGCTGCCAGTCCTACCCCCCTCTCAGCCCAGGTCCCATCCCAACTCCTACCTGGTAGGTACCTGTCGTGGCTGTGGCTGTACTCTGTGGCAGTGAGTGATAAGTGAGTCTGTGCAAAGGGCTGGTTGCCAAACAGATTGTCACTATGAAGGTTGTGGCAGAGCTTCTCCAGGAAGCGGAGGACATAGGTGATGCTGTTGACTGCTGGGAGGTTGAGGGTGTGCTGTTCTCGGTCAAACACGGCTGTGGAGTTAAGTAAATAGAACCATGTACGTCAGCTGAGCAGCACAGTGTAGCATGGCACTGGGCAGGGGTTGTCCAGCCAGCTGCTGTCTTGGGCTTACCTGGTTACACAAAGGCAATCAGTGCTCAGGCTGCTCTCTCCCTCCCTTTCCCTCCCTCCCTGGAGGGCTTTGATTTTTGCCTTCAACTCCAAAGGGCATGCAATAATGGGAGTGGCCAGGCCAGGTCTGTTGCACCCTTAGGGCTCTGGAATGATTTCACTCAACCTGTGAAAACAACTGTGAACATAATTCTATCTGCTCCATCACTTGATTGAGCCTCTTCCAGGAAATCTGTTCATTTGGGGAGCTGTTTTCACAAGAATTGCCCAAGAACAGAAAAGCTGGGCAGAAGAGGAGAATATAGCCATCACTAGCAATGGCTTGGGCACACAATTTCCAATCTATATAAAAGCACTGAATTTTGGCAACATTTGAAACTGTTTCACGATTGGTTTTATTATACTTCCTATTTCTACTAAAAATATCAGCATAAAATTTGAAAAGCAAAAGGTCTGAGTATATGGCTCTGAAGGCAGTGAAGAAATGGAGACTTGGGGAAATAGGTCACTCTCAGGAACCAGCAGGGTTAGAGCAGCTAAAGAGGAGATAAAGGTCAGTCCCTTCAGGTTACTGCACAGAAGCAAATGAGAGGCTTGAGAGTGGCCTAGCCTCAGAAGGGACATGGACTTAATTTCCCAACAGTTTCCAGCCTTCTAGAACATTTCCTTCTCTGTCTGTCCCCATCTTCCATGAAGCCAGTTACTCCCTAGCATGGGTTCCCACACTATTCTCTATTACAAAACTTGTCACAATTAGGTGTTTTGATTCTTTCTTTCCCCCTGTGCAGACCTGAGTCTCTTCTATTATTCCCCTTTCCTAGCTAGTATCTGACAATAACCTCTCACATATGGTCAGGGCTCCATAAATGTTTGCTAAAAGAATAGTTTGGTGATTTATGGGGTTTTCCATGTCAGCTGGGTTTCCTGAAGCTGGTTATGGTAACTCATTAGGGAGGAAGAACAGGGTATTATAGAATAGCATTATAGTTAAGACTGGAAGGCTTTAGGTCAAGGCTTAATAGGTTTGATGAGAAAGAATACTAAAAAGAACTCTACTATTATGTATAACTAAATACACTAATAAAGACATTTAACGCCCCCCCCCCCCAAAAAAAAAAACCAATAGAAAAAAACCAAGAGAATTTTGGACTTAGGAAAATTGAAACAGAAGCAGGGCACATGAGAAAAAGTAAATACTCTCAGTGAGAGCAAAAAACTACTGTTGAATCAAATTGTCAGTAGAAAAGAAAGTGAATGCCATTTCCCTCTCTGACTTGGGACACAGCTCCCTTGTATGTGCCTGGTTTAGGAACCGGAAACAAAGAAGTCAGAAAAATGAGAGAAGGTCAGTAATTCCCTAAAACCAGTATGGAGACTAATGCACTCTGAAGAAACTCCTGTTGTCACAACCAAGCCCCTCACACTACTCCTTCTGAAATGCCTTTAAAGCCACATACTCATATATTTTCTTTATGGGAGAGTAAGCCAGGAGACAGGAGAGATACCAGAAACTCAGGCAGAGTTAGCTTGAGTATTCCTGGAGGAGGTATGCATAAGGCTCAGAGGAATGGGACACTTTCACATTTTTCTTTTCTTTTCTTTTTTTTTTTTTTT